TTTGTTGAGACAAACTTAATGAATTCACCGCATAATGACATGAGTACAAAGTGCTCTTGGTGACTTATACTCAATTAGGGTGGTCTATGTTGAGGTAGACCTAAAGAGATCCCTAACTTGAGTAGAAAAAGAGCTAACCGCCTCTTATGAAAGATAATAGGGTTATCCCAAAAAGCTGAGTGGCTAAGAAACATGGTGATAACCGTGCAGTTGTAGGGGTGTCCAACACTTTCACCACATTGTGATTCACAAACTATCATTTGCATTGCAAAGAACAGTGCCTATGATATAAAGAAAAGGCTTAGAATTGATCTATGTCTTTAACTACTCTATAAGCCTTTAAAGGTGGTCTATACTGAGATAGACTTGGAAGAGTTAAAAGTCTATATTGAGATGGACTTGACAAGACATAAAAATCTACAATGAGATAAGACTTGTCAGAGTTAAAAGTCTATGTTGAGATAGACTTTGACAGGGTGGAGGTCTATATTAAGATAGACATAACAGACTTGAGTACTAAGGGTATTCATAAGAAATCAAAGAGTTTGACTTTTGTAGGACCTGCTTTTTGAGTTGGTGTGTGCATTCGAGTTCAAAATTTATCTAACCGGTGAGTTCAAGATTCACATCACTCCCGGGAAGAAAATTACTCAGTGTCACTACGTGTCAGTTCAAGTTCTCAAACACTGACATTAAGATCAACTCATTTGTATTGCTCAGACATTTTCCTTTTCCTTTCCTCTTTGAGTTTGTTGTGGATTGTTGGGAAAATCAAAGATGAAAGCTTTGTTATGCGTTGGTCCACATCATACCTTGTCATTAGTACGACATTTTATGTGGTTGCCATCTTTCACTCAAAATGAGTGAATCTCATTTATTGAGAATGAGGCATGTAGCATGTCTTTTGGACATTAGTGGCCAAGAAGTGAAGACTATATTACTATATATAGCATACTTCCTTTGTTCATTAGAGACACACAAAAGCTTCTTCCTTCTTTCTTTATAAGAATTAATATATATTATAATATATATAATATATATAATTCGTGTCTGCCGGTTAAGGTCTGAGCAATAGTGAGGTTCGCCTATGTGATTGCTAGTGTAAGCTATCCGTAGTTGGTCTGTGTAGCCTGTCGAAAGCGTGCCAGGGTTCTAACTGCACCGTTACCGGGCAAATAACGCTTTTAAGGTAGTGTTATTGTAACATGGCACAGATTTTCTTTCAACCATACACCAATAGCGTCCGTGCTTCTTAAAAGGCTTCTAGATCGCGCGTTGACGTTGCGACTTTCCCCAACATCTAACACATGAAAAAATTCCAATGTGTACAAAAAATAAAAATGATGGGAACTTAAGGGCATGTTTACTTCAGGAAACTACTTTCTATTTTATGTTTTTTAATTTTTCAGTTTTCATTCTCGGTTTTCTATTATCTAATTTTTGTTTAGTATAACCAAAATATAAATTTCACACTTGATCCTAACATGCATGGACAATGATATTTTAATATTTTTTTTCATTTTTCTCCTTTATTTTTTATTATGTTGTTTAAAAGGAGAAGAATAAAATGGTAATGAGTTTTGTAATTACTAAAGGATTTGAATATATAATAATAAGATAAAAAAAAATATAGACAAACAAACATAATAATGGGTATCAAAACTCATACTAGGTAGGGGTGAGCATCGGTCGGTTACGGTTAATAACCGACCGATAACCGAATAACCGATGACATTTTTAAATCTCCATAACCGACCGAAACCGACCGAACATACACTCTTAACCGACCGAAACCGATTATATCGGTTTCGGTCGGTTATTCGGTTAACCGATCGAATAACCGAACATTCACAAGTAATATAATATAATATAATATAATATATATATATATATATATATATATATATATATATATATATATATAGCTACTGTACGTATATATTAGCTACATTCACAAGTAATATATATTAGCTCATGTACGTATATATACAAATTTATTTACAGTAACTAAATAAACTTACTAACTTTCAGTAAGTTTATTTAGTTATTGCATAGTGTATATATGGAGATTTGCACAACAGCCACTACTAACATATTATAATATTATATATATATATATATATATATATATATATATATATATATATATAAAATAGCGTCGGTTATTCGGTGACCGCGGTTATTACACCTTCATAATCGATAAATAACCGAATAACTGAATAACCGAATTTTTTTTAAGGCTTATAACCGATAACCGAAATTATCGGTCGGTTCGGTTATCGGTTTTGTCAGTTTTTCGGTAATTATGCTCACCCCTAATACTAGGGTGCAAAAGTTCCAACTAAACAATACCTAAGGGGGTGTTTGGTAGTATAGAATTGTAATTCCAATATTCCATTCCTACCAAACTCCATAGAATTACAATTTCATGGTTTTGTTGAAGGGAATTGCAATTCCATGAAATTACTATTTAACAAACTTTCACAAGATTAGAAGTGTTAAAGTGGACTAAAATTCTGCGATGGGGCAAATTTTACTGTGGACCATGGTCCACGTAATAATGTAGTGCACTAAGTGTCATTATAATTATACTTTAGTTTCATTTGACAATATTGATCCATTTTTCAGTTTCATTTTTTACACACACCAGTTTAATTAGAGTAATACTAAAGTATTATTTTAATTCTATTACAGTTTCATTCGACAGTATACATTATTGTATGAGCTCTATTTTGTAGTTTCATTTTTCACACATACTAGTTTAATTATAATAATGCTAAAGTATTATTTTAATTACATTCCACGTTAATTTGACAATATATGTTATTGTATGACTCTAGATTTTAGTTTCATTTTCCACACGCACTAGTTTATTTTGACAATAGTGTATATAAAATGTAACTGAATAACAGTTTCACATATTTGAGCGTATATTATCCGATGAAACTATAGTTACATCGAAATGCTACTGTAGTTGTGTTGTAATGAAACTGCAGTTTATATTAAATGAAACTGAATAACAGTTTCACATATTTGGGTGTATATTGTCCAATGACACTGTACTTGAATTAGAATTATAATTTAATGGTGTTGTAATAAGACTAAAGTATGTATAAAATGAAATTCAATAATATGACTCATTGTAATAAGACTTTTGTATATATATATATAATGTCGAATGAAATTGTAGTTGGATCGGAACAAAATGAAATTGTAGTTTTGTTGTAATGAAACTGCAGTTTATATAAAATGAAACTGAATAACAGTTTCACATATTTGGGTGTATATTGTCCAATGATACCGTACTTGAACTAGAATTATAAATTAATGGTGTTGTAATAACACTAAAGTATGTATAAAATGAAATTCAATAATATGGTTCACTATAATAAGACTATCGTATTATATAAAATAATGTCGAATGAAACTGTAGTTAGATTGGAACAAAATGAAACTGTAGTTGTATTGAAATAAAACTACAATATATATGAAATGAAACTGAATATGTTATACAAATAGAGCTACTTTACGCAAAACGGTGCAAAATGGGTGACGTTTCTTTTCATTAAAAGAAACCGCACCATTTTGGACCATTGATGTAGGACAAGGAGAACAGTTGAAGAACACAAACAATATAACTCAAACTCAAAGACTTTCAATAATATTCAAACTTGAACTTCTCAATACAAAAGTCTGTTTAAATAGACAACTAAGAAAAACTAAAGAGTTGCAAATATTAAAAACATGCATAGGAACTATAAAATAAAAAAATGAGAATTGGAAATACTAATAATATTTAAAGCTAATTCAAATTTCTCATAAAAAGTAGCCACCAAACTCCATGTCCCTTAGACTTCATTCATGTGACCATTGTTCTATTATTTTCTCAATTCCTATTTCGCACCATTCTCCCTTGGTTGCAAAGGACTCCCCCCGAGTCCTCAAAATGTAATGTTACCTCCTCGGAGTAATATAAAGTCCTTATGAGGGCCTTTAACTTTTTTTTTTTTGAACCTTATAATACCCATATGTCCTCAAACTCAATTTGTGAAATGTTTTCATGAACACATGATTCTTATGGATAAAGACCATAACCTTCTCACCCATTCTTTATATTTTCTTATGCTGCCTTTTGCTAGCCTGGGCTTTATACCTTGCATTGGTTGTATCAAGTTTAGCCATAGCTTCATCCTGAGCTTCAAGAACACACCTTTCAGATCTTACATCTCCATAATACTTTTGCAACATCGAGATAAAGTTAATAGCATGCGTAAGTTGTTTCTGATAAGTAGTAAAATCGTCTATGATCACTAATTTCTTAGTGACTTCATAAATTTGACAGAATGCATGCATGCTTATCATTTTCTTTGGAAATCTCTATTTTGTCTTCACAATCATTTTCTCCCTCCTCGATATTTTCATCTCCAGGATTAATAAACCTTCGAGCCCAACCTTCACCTGAATAGTAGTCAGGTTCTTTTCTCTTCAAACATCTCTTAGTCCTGGCCTCTTGTGTGAGTGGTGGAGGTTGAGATTTATGAAAGTGAATAACCTTGATTCCATGTGTAGGTTGTCTTTTAATCTCAACAAGTGTTCTTGTAGGAAGAAGGGAGTGTTTATTTGGAGTAACTTCAGTCAACAGATTTTCAGCTTGGAAGTTCATATTAAAAGATTTACCTTGGCCCTGTTTGGTAAAAAATTGGCCTATAGGCCAATTTTGGCTTATTTGACCACTATTAATTGTTTGATTTAATTAAAATATCAATATAAATGTTTGATTAATTAGCTTTTTGCAACTCCAAAAGACTAAAATTCAAAAAGCTACTCCAAGCAACTTTTTCAATTAGCTTTTTGAGAAAATAATTTATACCAAACAGCTATCAGCTAACAGCTAATTTACCAAACATTTTTCTACCATAGCTAATGTTATCAACTATTTATACCCTCTAATTCACACAATCAGGTAACAGCTAACAGCTATCAGCTAACAACCATTTTACCAAACAGGGCTACTGACATTATTGGAAGCTCACACCATTCCACACTTTGAGCTTCAACCAATCAAACATTATACCAAATTTAAGAGAGGAAAATGTGGTCGGGAGTGGTGGATCAGGGAAAGTTTATGTTGTGCTGTTGAGAAATGGACAAAAAGTTGCTGTGAAGAGGATTTGGAGCAAGCACAAGTTGGATGAGATGGTTGAGAAGGAGTTTCAAGCAGAAGTTAAAATACTGGGAACAATTCGTCATTCCAACATAGTCAAGCTCTGGTGCTGCATTTCATGCGAAGAATCAAACCTTCTTGTGTACGAATTCATGGAAAATCGCAGCCTGGATCTGTGGCTTCATGCAAAGAAAAGATCACCTGCCCAATTCCTGGATTGGCCTACTAGGCTACGCATCGCAATTGGAGCTGCTCAAGGGCTGTCCTATATGCATCACAATTGCTCACAACCAATTGTTCATAGAGATGTGAAATCCAGCAATGTTCTTTTAGATTCAGAGTTCAATGCCAAGATTGCAGATTTTGGCCTCGCCAGAACATTGATAAAGCATGGAGATCCCAACACAGTGTCCACAGTTGCTGGCTCCTTTGGCTATATAGCTCCTGGTAAGTCACTATATATTTGCAGACTTTAAAACTTTCCCATTTTTGTCATTCATCCCAAAAAGTTAATGCTTATTCCAGAGTATGCACACACTAGAAAAGTGAACGAGAAGATTGATGTGTATAGCTTCGGGGTGATACTTCTGGAACTGGTGACGGGAAGAGAGCCGAACGATGGAGATATGGATTGGTGCCTAGTTGACTGGGTGCGATACTATGTTCAAGAAGGAAACCCCATTGAGGATGCTTTAGATGAGGAAATAAAGGAGGCAGAGAACATAGATGAGATGTGTGGAGTGTTCAGACTGGGGATATTCTGTACTGGTGCAAATCCTGCTAAACGACCCTCCATGAGAGAGGTCTTGAGGTTCCTCCTCGATTTTGCAGCTCTCAATCAGTAAATGGAAAAGAAATAAGTGTTAGTGAGCGCGATGTTTCACCGCTTCTCAAGTGTTGTAGTAGTGAGGGGGCGGCGAAGATGGCGAGATGATAAAGATGATGATGAATTTGTGAATATGGTGTATTGGTGTTAAATCTGTATGTTGGCTTGGGAGACATGTACTGTGTATGTCAGTTTTTTTGTTTGGTTTTTTGTTTTTGTTTTTTTTTGTTTTTTTTTTTTGTTTTTTTTTTTTGTTTTGTTTTGAAGATATATGTCAGTTTGTGTTGTTTGTTTAGCTTAGTGGAGGTGTGGATGTGTGTTAACATTATCAATCATTATACCCAGCCCCGAATCAAAATCAAAACCAGAACCCTAGTACCTCAAATACCAGTTCTAATGGAACCTTTGATCCAAGCGACCTAGCTGACAGATCCTCTCCATCTTCACGTGAATGAGAGCCCTGCATTTGGTGACCACTCAACTGGAGGGGAGATCGAACTATCACTCCTGGGCAAGAGCCATGGAAATGGCGTTGAGGTCCAAGAACAAGATGACTTTCGTTGAAGGTCTTGTGCTTGTTCCAAGCAAATTGGATCCCAAATTCTGCTACTAGGACCGATGCAACACAATGTTGCTTTCCTGGATTTCAAGAGCTTTGTCCCCTACCATAGCCAGTAGTGTTCTCTGGATCAATACAGCTGAAAGGGTATGGAAGAACCTGAGGAAGAGATTCAGCCAGCAAGATGTGTTTAGAGTTGCTGAAATTCAATCTCAAATCCATCATACTAGGCAAGGTAATTCCACAACAACTAAGTACTTCACACAATTGAAGCTATTATGGGATGAAATGCTTGTTTTAAGACCTATCCCTAGCTGTGAATATATCCCCAATTGTGCATGTGGAATTGATCTGTCTAAGAAAGTTTTGACTCATCTGCAAAACGATATGTTATCTGCATTTCTTACGGGTTTGAATGACAATTACACTAGTACTAAGAGACAGATCATGTTAATGAAGCCACTCCCTGATGTTGATGAGGCCTTCTCCATGGTTTCACAACAAGAAAGGCAGGTGGATATTGAGGCAAACACTATGGGAGATAGTATGACAGGTGTAAATGCCTTCTTCACAAAAGCAGATAACAGTGGTAGGAAACCATTCCCTAATCAGCTCAAAAACTCTCCAAATATATAGAGAGAAAGTGGTTCTAGGGTTCTGAGTGAATTGACACCTTGCTTTAATCTTGGAGCTTCATCTTCTTCTTGAATTGGATTACTTGTTGGATTGATTGCTCTTGTGAATTGAAGCTAAGTAATTCCTGCATTTTCTCTCATTTAATTCATCATTCATCTTCATTGATTAGCTCAATTTCATTTGCACTTCAATCTAGAACATGAGTGGCTAAACTCTTTTAGGGATTGGATTAACATTTACTTGCATGGTGGTACTGTGATTATCAATTGCTAATTGAAAATGTATTTGTGTTGATTGATTGATTTGTTGATGGGAGTGGAAGGTTTGTTTTATTTCTATGGTGTTAGGGCCTAACTCCATGGATGATCTAGTATTTAGTATGCTTGACAAGATTGAGATTGCAAACATACTAGATGTCGTGGGCTCTGGCTAAGAAAGGAAAATGGTTGGGGGATGGAAGCAAAGGAAGGAAGGTGGTGGTGCGAAGTCTCGCCACTCCAAAGATGGATATAAGAGTTGACGCTACTTAGGAGGTAAAACCCAAGATAAGTCAAAATACTCCTCAAGAACTCAAGGAAAAGAAAATGTCAAAGCAATATTTTTGAATTTACTACTGTCAAAGTTGTCTGTCCAACAAAAATAATAGCAAGGCTATTTATACACTTTAGTCAACCCCTACATCAATGACATTTAAGTTCAAGATGGGCTATTCTAGTGCTAGACTATCTAATAAAAAGATGCAACTAGTCACAAGACTAGGATAACTATGTCAAATATGTTTAAGAAAACTAAATTCTAATTGAATTTAGAATTTTTAAGCATAATTTGGACTTTACAAATTAAATAGCATAAGGACGGTCTAAAATAGTCTCAAACTTTTATTTGCAAGAAAAATACTCTATGTGTTGATTTATAAGCTATAAACCTCCACTTGATCTTTATTCTTCAAATTATGTATGAATCAGATTGACACCTTCAACTAAACTCATCTTCATATTCTTGATTAGCTTCACTTACTCCTTTAATAAGGCCACTCCACTCGTAGCTTCATGAAATATCTTCGTCCTTGCTCTCGGGACCTCCCAAAATTTGCAAAGTATCTATTTCTTTGTTGTCATCCCATAGTTGTCCTCAACGCTAGAGCCTTTATTCCACTTGCGTTTCTCACCTTATATCCAAGCGGGAAAAGTCTGGAATGAGGTGTAGGCAAGGTTTTCGATAATATGTCTCATGTTAGTAACATTGACACTTGGATGCTCTATTACTTCATGATAGGCCAATAAGACCTAAAATGACTTTGACATTAGCAATCATCTCTCTTGAATTCCAATTAGCACAATCATACATTTCCTACTCTAGACACTTGAAGGCACCATTACAAAGAAAGGCTGATCCAAGCCCATTCCATCTCATTTGATTCTTTCCTAATTGCTTTCCTAGCTTGTTTTAGTACTTGCACAGTCTAAATTTTGCATTTTGTACACAATGCTTTGCAAACACTAGGCTCTAGCTCTTGAAGGGTCCTTGGCTATCATTTACCCCATTAAACTAACATGGAAAACTCCATCTATTGCAAATGATTTAATGTTAATCCTTTGCAATAGATGAGTTTTCCATGTTTGTTTAAGAGGGTAAATAATGAGAGGCAAATGTGCACGTAATTACAAAATTGTACCTCTATTTAACATTAATTGGACGAAATAACAAAGTGAGAGGATTACATTGAGTAAAAACACACAACTCTGAAACTATATTAGGTCACAAAAGTCATTTAGGACGAAATCAAGAAAAATCAACATAATCGAGAAATATTTTGCATATTAACTCATTTCCTTTCAATTTGTAACAATTGTATTCGTGTCTACCAAACAATGTAATTTGAATTTATACATTATTCTTTTCCTACAAAATTACAATTCCTCTTTTCCCTCCTAATTTCCTGTCTATAAAATCTGTAAGAGGATAACAATCCTTATTTAAAGAAAACCTTAAAAGTCACTGCCCAGAATATATGCCCATTGCATGTATGTCAGCCATATCATTCTCAATTAACCAGAATCAATCTCTGCATCCTTACGCTCTTCATCTTCACTACTTTACCCTTCCATATAGAATCCCAAACAAGTAGTATCAATTCTGAAAGACCAAATCTATCTTTTTTGTTTAAAGTAGCACTTTTCAAATTGACCAAACAACTCTGGAATTCATCATCGGACCACTGCACCTGGCCGTAATTAACAAACTTACACAGAATGTTAAATTGTTAATAACAGCCAGTTACTATGTTATATTTAACAAAGATGTTTGTTGCCTGGAATAGCTAAACGCCTGAGCTCCCGGAATTCGGCGGTAATTAACAAACTTTCACAAGATTAGATGTGTTAAAGTGGACTGAAATCCTGCGATGGGGCAAATTTTACTGTGGACAATGGTCTATGTAGTAATGTGATTCAGAAAGTAAGTATCATTATAATTATACTTTAGTTTCATTTGACAATATTGCTCCGTATTTCAGTTTCATTTTTCACACACATTAGTTTCATTAGAATTATACTAAAATATCATTTTAATTTTGCTACAGTTTCATTTGACAATATACATTATTGTATGAGCTCTATTTTGTAGTTTCATTTTTCACACATACTAGTTTAATTATAATAATGTTAAAGTATTATTTTAATTACATTCCACGTTCATTTGACAATATATGTTACTGTATGACTCTAGATTTTAGCTTCATTTTCCACACGCACTAGTTTCATTTTAACAACATTAAAGTATCATTTTAATTATACTACAATTTCATTTGACAATATACATTGTTGAATGAGCTCTGTTTTTTAGTTTCATTTTGCACATACACTAGTTTCATTTTAGTAACACTAAAATATTATTTCAATTTCATATGACAATCATGGTCCACATAGCACTATGGACCCTGGTCCACAGTATAACAACCCCTGCAGTCGTTATACCATGGACCATGGTCCACAAAGCTTTGTGAACCATGGTCCAAAAACAGCGTCGCTTCTTTATGTAAAGAAATAGTTGTCGTTACATCTTAATAGATCCCGCATTTTTTTTATTATACATAACAAAATGAAACTACAGTGTATCTCAAATAAATTATCTCACATATTGTTTTTATATTATCAAATGAAATTGTAATTGAATTGACACTTTAGTTGTGTTGAAATGAAACTGCAGTATGTATAAAATGAAACTAAATAATATGTCTCACATATTGAGTGTATATTATGAAAAAGAATTGTAGTTGAATAGAAATAATGATATTGTAGTTGTGTTGAAATGAAAATACAGTGTATATCAAATGTAACTGAATAACAGTTTCACATATTTGAGTGTATATTGTCCAATGAAACTGTAGTTATAAAGAAATGATGATGTAGTTCTGTTGAAATGAAGAAACTACAGTGTATATCAAATGTAACTAAATAACAGTTTCACATATTTGAGTGTATATTATCCAATGAAAATGTAGTTATAACAAAATGATATTGTAGTTGTGTAGAAATGAAACTACAGTGTATATAAAATGTAATTGAATAACAGTTTCACATATTTGAGTGTATATTGTCCAATGAAACCATACTTGAATTAGAATTATTATAATTTAATGGTGTTGTAATAAGACTAAAGTATGAATAAAATGAAATTCAATAATATGACTATTGTATATATAATGTCCAATGAAACTGTAGTTGTATCGGAACAAAATGAAACTGTAGTTGGATCGGAACAAAATGAAACTATAATTGTATCGGAACAAAATGAAACTGCAGTTGTATTGGAATGAAACTACAATATATATAAAATGAAACTAAATATGTTATACAAACAGAGCTACTTTACCCGAAACGGCACAGAATGAATGTCTTTCTTTTTATTAAAAGAAACGACACCGTTTTGGAGTATGGTGCCCGGTATAATTTGCCCAACCCCTACGATGGGGCTAAGGATCATGGAAGATACGGTCCGCAAAAATGTGGACCTAGCCGTGAATGCCCGCGTGGGTCGCGAAGACCGCTAAGTTGACTCTGCAATAATGGCTAGTCTTTCTCCTCACAAAAAATCTGCAAAATAGAAGGATTTGCATGCCAACATTCCTTACTTGTAGAATACCTTAAAATCACTGCACATTGCACGTCAACCATGCCAATCAAGTGATCAACCTCTGCATCCTCACACTCTTCATCTTCACTTTTCTCTGCCATGGACAATCCCAAAGCAGTGGCAACAGTCCTGACAGATCAATTCTTCTTCATTTAAAGAAGCACTTTTCAAATTCACCAAACATCTCTCGTCACTGGACATCATCTTCAGACCACTGTACCTGGCTGGGAATCACCTGCGATAAGGGACTCGTCACCAAAATTCAGCTTGGTGGGCTAATCATCAACGACACGATCCCACCCTACATCTGCGACCTGAAAAATCTCACTCATCTTGATCTCAACAGCAACAATATCCCTGGATCATTTCCCACATTTCTCTACAATTGTTCCAAGCTTGTATACTTGGACCTTTCTTTTAACAACCTCAGTGGCATCATCCCTGATCATATTAGCCTGCTTTTTCCTCGACTCGAAGCTCTTAACCTGACTTCTAACTGGTTCGTGGGCGGAGTTCCAGCTGGAATTGAAGGCCTAAAAGGTCTAAAAGAACTTCAGCTAATTGACCTGTTCATAAATGGCTCATTCCCTTCAGAGATTGGCAACTTGTTGAATCTTGAAGTTCTTGTTCTTAGCCAGAATAGTTTCTCACCGCAGGAAATCCCATCGAGTTTTATCCAGTTGAAGAAACTGAGACACCTCTGGATGAAAGAGGCTGAGTTGATTGGCAAAATCCCCGAAAATATCAGCAGCATGGAAGCACTAGAGTACCTGGATTTATGCAAAAATTACTTGAGTGGAAACATTCCAAGTCACTTGTTCCTGCTCAAGAATTTGACCACGGTTTTCCTCTACACAAACAGATTGTCTGGACCTCTTCCTCGTCCAGTTATGGCATTGAATTTGAATGTAATTGATTTTTCTAATAACAGCTTGACGGGGAGCATTCCAGAAGACTTCGGAAAGATGGTAAAGTTGGAGTATTTGGTCTTGTTCATGAATCAATTATCAGGCAAAATACCAGTAGGCATAGGCAGATTGCCAGCATTGTCTTCTATTGAACTCTTCATGAACAATCTGTCGGGTGAACTTCCGCCAGATTTTGGTCGATTTTCGAAGCTTCAAGTTTTTGATGTTTCCACAAACCATCTTACAGGATCACTGCCAGATGGTTTGTGTGACAATAAGGTGTTGATTTCCATGATTTCCTTTGACAACAATCTCACGGGTGAGCTGCCGAAATCATTTGAGGATTGCAACACCTTGAGAGGCGTCTGGGTTGAAAGAAACAATCTTTCAGGTACAATTCCTGATGGTTTATGGGCAGCTGAGAATTTGAAAGTGTTGAAGATTAACAATAACCAGTTCACTGGTCAGCTGCCACAAAAGATGGCATCAAATTTATATATAGTTGATATTAGCAACAACCAATTTTCTGGTGAAATTCCTGATGGTGTTTGGACATCTGGGAAATTGAAATGGTTGCTTATTATGAATAACCAGTTCACTGGTCAGTTGCCAAAACACGTTACATCAAATATATCTCTACTTGATATTAGTAACAACCAATTTTTTGGTGAAATTCCTCCGGCAATCTCTTCTTGGAGCAATCTATATATCTTCAGGGCAAGCAATAATCTCTTAACAGGTCAAATTCCTCATGAACTCACTGCCCTTAGATCTTTATCAGTCCTTATGCTTGATGGGAATAAGCTTTCTGGAAATTTTCCTTCGAATATTATATCTTGGGAGTCACTATCCACATTGACATGCAGCAGAAATCAGCTTTCAGGTACAATCCCACCAGCACTATGTCTTTTAGCTGATCTTAATCAGCTAGACCTGTCTCAAAACCAATTCTCCGGAGAAATCCCTCCAGCACTAAGCCTTTTAGTAAACCTTAATCAGCTAGACCTCTCTGAAAACCAATTCTCCGGAGAAATCCCGCCTGAGATAGGTCATTTGCCTGTAAGTTCACTTAATCTGTCCTCCAATCATCTCTCGGGGAAAATTCCAGATGAATTTGAAGTTGTATTTTTTCGGAAGAGTTTCTTGAATAATCCTGGTCTCTGTGCTACTATGCCCTCGTTAGGCCTCAGGGATTGTAGAGCAAAAACTGAGAAATCCAAACTTATTGCCATTATTGGAAGTATAGTAGCTTTTTTGTTTCTAGTTGCCATTCTATATATGGTGCATGTGTTCAAGATTAGAAGATTGGAAGAAAATAAAAGAAAAGAAGCATTGGTTCAACACTGGAAGCTCACACCATTCCACACTTTAAGCTTCACGGAATCAGACATTTTACCAAATTTAGCAGAGGACAATTTGGTCGGGAGTGGAGGATCAGGGAAAGTTTATGCTGTGGCGTTAAGCACTGGAGAAAAAGTTGCTGTTAAGAGTATTAGGAACAACTACAAGTTGAGTGAGAAGGTGTTTCTAGCAGAAATTAAGATACTGGGCACAATTCGTCATTCGAATATAGTGAAGCTTTGGTGCTGCATTTCAAGTGAAGAATCAAACCTTCTTGTGTATGAATACACGGAAAATCGCAGCCTGGATCTGTGGCTTCATGCAAAGAGAAGATCACCTGGCCAATTCCTGGACTTGCCTACTAGACTGAAGATCGCAATCGGAACTGCTCAAGGGCTGTCCTATATGCATCACAACTGCTCACCACCAATTGTTCATAGAGATGTGAAATCCAGTAATGTTCTTTTAGATTCTGACTTCAATGCCAAGATTGCAGATTTTGGCCTCGCCAAAATATTGATCAACAACGGAGACCCCAACACAGTATCAACTGTTGCTGGCTCCTTTGGCTATATAGCTCCTGGTAAGTGTTAGGAGCATTTTTCACAATTATTTCGATTTCTACCCAACAATCTCACTAGCCACGCGGTGCTAGACTTGTCCCTTATCAGCCTCCGCCCAACAATCCTCCTCCCAACACCAGCCAGTCTCAACTGTTCCTGCCCGACCTCCATCCAATAATCTTAATTGTTCTTGTTGTGACCAACAATCCCCTCTTAACTGCACTGGCTGGAACTCGTCCCTCCCAGCACCAACTCTAATACCATTTATTAGGATCAAGAATTTACCATTACGTCAAAACCTAACACTCATAGCGAAGACGCAACTTTATTTCCTTATATCGCCACACATTTTCGAAAGTCAGGGTGCTAGACTTAGCCCTTTCCTTGTCTCCGCCCAACAAGTCCCTAAGCCACATGGTGCTGACTTGTCTCTTACTGGCCTCCGCCTAACAATAAGTCATTATATTTTGCCATTCTGTAATTTAATGTTTCTTACAAATTTTGTAATTTCAACCTTTTTTTTAATGTTGATTTCAGAGTACGCATATACGAAAAAAGTGAACGAAAAGTTTGATGTGTATAGTTTTGGGGTGATCCTCTTGGAACTGGTGACAGGAAGAGAGGCAATTGATGAGGATATGGGTTGTGGGCTAGCTGATTGGGCGCGACACCACGTTGAAGAAGGAAATCAAATAGTGGATGCTCTAGAAGGGGATATCAAGGAGGCAGAAAACTTAGATGAGATGTGTGGAGTTTTCAGGCTAGGGATCTTCTGTACTGCTTCAAATCCTGCTAAAAGACCCACCATGAGAGAGGTCTTGCAGATTCTCCTGTATTGCAGCCCACCATCACCAAAATAAATGGAAGCCAATTAAGTGTCAGCTAGTGAGGGGACATTGGAAGATGAAGATGATGGTTTAATTTTAAGCCATTTGTTGTATTTTAAAACCATGCATATAGGTTGTATCGACAGATTATGTCAAAATAACAACACTATATTACATAATTTTTCAATTTTATTGTGTAATTATGCTTTTCATATAGCTTGCTAAATCTACCAAATGAGATACACAAACTTTATTTGTCAAAGTTTTCTCCTCCTCATGTTATGCCAAAAAATGCGGTTATAAGGGGCAACCCCAACTAAGTTGGTTAAACTGTTAATTTGATAATTATAGAGTTACAAATTCGACTACTAACAGAAACAACTTATTACCTATCTTGGTTTGAGTTATTCAATTATGGACAACCTAAACTGATTTAGGGTCACAAAGTGAGATTTTTCCAATACACATCCTTAGATAGTGACTGCTAAAAGTCGTCAAAAGACTCCAAATGAATTAATTGGAAAGGGTATGAAAATGTGGGGAAATAGTTCAGCTTGTTTTGTGGTTTACGGCCTCCGTTTCCTACGTCAAGTTTGGCTGCTGAGTGTTGACAAATATATATTAAGCAATTATTCCATGAAATGAAGCTTCCATGCAAGGCAAAAATCTAGGGGAGACTTGAATTGATTAATTGGGGCTAGGGTTGCAAATCAAAATTTAATTTGACTCTTTACAAAAAATTTTAGTTTGACAAGGGAGTACTATGCATTGAATTAGTTTAGAAGTATGCAAACTTATTGTTCACAAGTATTTTGAGAGGTTGGTTCAAATTAACACCCCAAATGAATATTTCAAAAAAAATAATAATAATAGAGTTTTTACCAACATCATTTAGATTACTGGCAAGAATGTAACCAGACTTTAAAATGAGCCATTTAATTTAATATTATATATTATATAATAATATATCTTTTTTTTTTTTTGAATGCATATAATTATATCTAATTATATAAATACTTATAATCTTCATTATATTCCTTCATAATTTAATTAAAATAAAAATTTATTCCATTAGTTGAAAAGTTATAAAATCATTTGAAAATACTAATATATAGAAAACTTAAAAAGTAAGGTAAAAATCTAAAGGCCGGGGATAGATTTTTATACAAATAGAAGTCCCCTTTTTGGCTCTGTGTATATAATATAGCACTTGTTCATGTTCATATGCACAACCGTCTTCATCCTTATATAGCAAGTTTCAAACTTGAATACTTTGTATATAGCCACTTGTTCATATGCACAACCGTCTTCATCCTTATATAGCAAATTTCAAACATTACCATGTAGAGGGTAAGTTTTGAACCTAAGACCTTTGAGTTAATTATCATGCTACTAACCATCTCATTCGTATGACTTATTGGTTGTTGTAGCATTATATTCTTCTTGATGTACTCCTTTCCTTCCATAATTCCTTGATCTCCAAGATATCATCATGCAATTACGTTTGCTTCTTCTTATCTTCTTCGAATTTCGACTTGTAGATGTGAATTTCCAGTATACATATCATATGCATACATCTTCCTCTATTTTCATATGCATTCATCTTCCTTTATTTTCATATGGAATTATTCGTTCCTGGTTTATGACTCACCTAAACTTAAACAAATAAAACTGGAGATTCTAAAATACAATTTGACATATCAAAATCTATTACAATTTATTCATAATATAAATAAAATATAGTAATAAATATGCATAATAAAAATATATATAACAAAACATAAATATATAAATGTGTTAAGTAATCCATGTTTTGTAGTTGCATAAATGTATACACTTAGATTAGGGTCTGTTTGGAAACTCGGAAAATGACTTCTGTAAAATGACTTCTGGAAAATGAGTCATTTTCCAAAAGTCATTTTCCAAAAGTCATTTTCCTTTCCTGTGTTTGGCTGCACAATGGAAAACTGTCTTTTGGTGTTTGGTTCATTTTCCAGAAAATGATGGAAAATTGTCTTTTGGTGTTTGGTTCATTTTTCAGAAAATGAACAAAATGGCATACTAAAACATTTTAATTATTATATACCGAATATGACAATTTGAAATCACAATTACATGTTAGAAATAACATAAATGCATAAATAATCAAGTCTTGAAAATTAAAATTCACAAATTAAGCATAAGCATTTTATTATATAATCAGTACAAAAAAAAAAATAACAGCAACATGATTTGACATAAAAAATCAAAAAAAAAAAAAAAAATTTGCATCTGGTTTCGGAACTGATTTTCCGCATCGGAAACCAGATCTGGTTTCCGATGCGGAAAACCAATTCACTGGTTTCCGATCGGAAACCAGTGACCGGCACTGGTTTCCGATTGGAAACCAGTGACTGCACTGGTTTCCGATTGGAAACCAGTGACTGCACTGGTTTCCCCAGCCGGAAACCAAACTGGTTTCCGGCTGGGGAAACCAGTGAAGAAGGTTGAAAAAAAAAATCTAAAAGGGGAAGTCAGTTTTTGGGAGAAGAAGGTTTGAGCGTGTGTTGATTGGAAGATGGAAAATGACTTCCGCCAAAAAAGAGGGGAAGTCATTTTCCGGATTTTAACCCTCATTTTTCATTGACTAACTAGCATTTTCCTTTGACCATTTTATTTTCAGTCTTCCCAAACACAAAAAACCCGGAAAATGATTTCCAGAAGTCATTTTCTGGGTTTCCAAACAGACAACGTTATTCTGTACTTTTAATAATATAGTGAAATTTTATAATTCATTTTAATATATATAGGTATGATGAACATTATTCTTAGTATTATTTTAAATAAGTTTTTTTTTTTATATGTAATAAGCAATATTTACTTCGTTATGTATTAAATTTTGTTATTAATTTCATAATTAGTTTTGTAAATAAATATTGGCATTTAGTATTTTTATTAGCCTTAAGTTAATTTTGTTTTAAGATGTTGACAGCACATTACTTTTTGCCCAGCATTTTGAACCTATCAAATAAACTATTAGGACTATATTATTCGTATTAGACTAGAACTCTATTTCGTGTCTTTATATTTGTATCTCCAGACTTTGGTATTCAATACAACACAGTCTATATTCTAATCTGGTATCAGTTTCAAGGTTTTCTCTCATGGAGAATCACGGTGCTAATGACGACGGATTTGTTTGTTCTTCTGAACTGACCGTTACCGAGACTACTCCCGTGCCTATCGGGAATAGCCTCTCATCGGCTCATCACTTCGTTTCGCTCAAGCTAACTGCCCGGAATTATCTGTTTTGGCGAACGTAGATGCTATCGTTCCTAGAGGGCCAAGGCCTTCTCGGCTTTGTGGACGACACTTTGCCGTATTCGACTTCGACGCCGGCAGAACCGTCGACGGCGGACAGTGCGCCGGTAGCAACGGCGACGGCCGATCTCTCGGCCCGACAGCTGGCGTGGCGGCGGCAGGACAAGGCGATCCTGTCGCTCCTGATTTCGTCTCTCTCGGAGGAGACGTTGCGTTTTGCGGTTGGCCGGACAACTTCTCGACAGCTTTGGCTAACCATTGAACAAACCCTGTCCTCTTCTACTCGGTTTCGGGCGTTGCGGTTGTTTGGTGAGTTACAAAGCTTGCGTCAGGGGGACGCTTCTATACCGGAATATATTGGCCGTGCTCAGATAATGATCGAGGACTTGGCTCTTGCCGGGCGAGAGATTACGTTAGACGATAAAAACTTATATGTCTTTCGTGGTTTCCGACCTGAGTTCCATCCGTTGGTGGCTACTTTAGCACGTGGTGCTCCGGTTTCTCTGACCGAGGTACATGATATCTTGGTCTCACAAGAATGGATCTGCGCGGATGACGACGTTGGGATTGGCGCTCCGGCAGTCTTGGCCGTGAACCGTGGTGGTCACGTCAGACGCGGCGGTGCACAGCAGTCGTGAGGTGGTGGTGGCCGTAGAAGAGGCGGCCGGGGTCATGGGTGCGGTCGCTCTGGTTCTGGGCCGCGGTGTCAGATCTGCAACAAACAGGGTCACATTACGTTTTCGTGTTAGCAACGTGTTTTCGGCCTCCCCGGCTCCTCAGGCAAATGTGGCTGTCTCGGTGGTGATGATTCGAATGGTCTTCATGAGTGGTTTCCTGACACTAGTGCTATGAATCACGCTACCCCTGATTCCTCCTTAATGACGACTACAACCACCTATGATGGTCCTGAGACTCTGCGTGTTGGCAGTGGTACAGGTTTACCTATTGTTAATGTTGGTTCTGCTTCGTTATCCACTGATTCTAGATCTTTTGAGTTACGTGATGTTTTGCATGTTCGTGGTCTTTCTAATTCGTTATTATCTGTTCAGAGTTTTGCCAAAGATAATAATAATGTTTTCTTTGAGTTTCACCCTCTTTGTTTCTTTGTGAAGGACATTTTGACCAAGAAAGTCCTCTTTAAGGGGCATGTATCTGGAGGTCTGTACACATGGCCTGCGTCTTCTTCTGCTCCTGCTGCTTTTGTTGCTACGCGTTCATCATTCGTTTGGCACATTCGATTGGGGCATCCACATTCTATAGTCTTACGTAAAATTTTAGAGTCTTCATCTGTTAGTACGTTTAATTCTAATGATCTTCCCAATGTTTGCTCGTATTTTCAATTGGGAGAATCATCTCGTTTTCCTTTATCTCGTATTGAAACTACCAATACACATCCTTTGGAATTAATATATTCGGATATTTTGGGCCCTACGCCATTACTTTCTGCAAATGGCTTCACATATGTTGTGTAGTTTGTGGATGATTATACACGATATATGTGGTATTATATGATGCGTGCTAAATCTGAGTTGTATGGCTTATTTGATAGGTTTCGATCACTTGTTGAACGCTCTTTTTCTCGCAAGATTATTTCTATTCAGTCTGGTTTAGGGGGAGAATGTAAAAATCTCGGTTCCACTCTTGCTTCTCTGGGTATTCGTCACAGGAAATCATGTGCGTATACCCACGAGCAGAATGGTCAGGTTGAACGCAGGCACCGTCATGTTGTTGAGACGGGTCTGTCTTTAATGGCTCAGGCGTCTATTCCATCTCGTTTTTGGGACTACGCGTTTGAGACTGCTGTCTATCTTATCAATAAAATGTCTACTCGTATCTTATCTGATGATTCACCACACTTTCGTTTGCATCGTTCTCCCCCATCCTATTCTTACTTGCGGGTTTTTGGTTGTTTGTGCTTTCCTGTCTTGCGCCCGTATAATCACAATAAGCTTCAGTTTCGTTCATGTCCTTGTGTTTTTCTAGGTTATCCTCCGTCTTATCGTGGCTATCGTTGTTTGGATACTAACACTAACAAGGTTTTTATATGTCGCCACGTGCGATTCGATGAGACTGTTTTTCCATCTGCTGCTAGTGTTGCTTTGCAGGTCACTCAGTCTTCTCCTGAGCCATGGGGTACTGCGCGAGTTGTGGTTCTGACTGGTGATGTATCGGCTGAATTTTTGGATGATGAAGACCGGGCTGCCGAGCCCGATACAGCTGCTACGGGTGGTGTCGAGCAGTCCGCATCCAGTGATCGGACTGTCTCGGACCAGCCGCGTAGGTAACGCAAAAGGACGCGGGGCAGCTCTCGGCGTGGGGCGATCATGGCTGCTCCTCAGGGTACGGGTCCGCACGAGCATGTTGCCTTGACCTCTGCCATTGTGCCCGAGCCAACCTGTTACTCTCAGGCGGTCAAATTTCGCGAATGGCGTGATCCAATGGACTCGGAGTTTAATGTATTGATTCATAATAACACATGACGCCTTGTCCCGTATCAGTCAGGTATGAATGTTGTTGGTTGCAAATGGGTTTTTAGAACCAAAAGAAAGGCCGATGGTTCGATAGAGCGTCATAAAGCTTGGTTGGTTGCTAAGGGTTTTAATTAGGTTGCTGGGGAGGACTTCTTTGATACCTTTAGTCCTGTGGTTAATCCCACTATGGTACGTCTTCTCTTATCCTTAGCTGTTTCTCGTGGATGGACTATTCCCAACTGACATTCATAATGCTTTCTTGAATGGAAAGTTGGCTGAAACTGAGTATATGCGCCAGCCTCCTGGTTATGAGGACAAGATGTTGGCCGGACATGTGTGTTTACTTCAGCGGTCTCTCTATGGGCTTAAGCAGGCACCTCGTGCCTGGTTCACGTGACTGCATGATTATCTGGTCTCTGTGGGTTTTTCACCCTCTAAAACCGATGTCTCTTTATTTATTTATTCGCGTGACAATTTTCGGCTGTACTTTCTTGTCTATGTGGATGATATTTTAATTATGGGTTCTGATTCTAATCGTGTTGCTGCACTGGTTAGTAAGTGGGCTCTTGAGTTTAAAGTTCGTTATATGGGGGTTTCTTCTTTCTTTTTGAGAATTGAAACTGTTCAATTGGCTACTGGCCTGCTCTTGTCTCAGCAGCGTTACTTGAAGGATATTCTCAAGCGAGCAGGTATGGTTGATTGCAAACCGGTAGCCACGCCGGTGTCATCTGCCAAACCCGTGGAAGGCCCTGTGGTCCCGTATGCCGATCCGACTCATTACCGCAGTCTTGCAGGGGCCCTACAGTATCTTACGGTAACTCGTCCTGATCTCTCTTATGCTGTTAATCGTCTGTGTCAGCACATGCATGCTCCTACCACTGCAGATTGGGCGGGTTTGAAGAGAGTCCTGCGCTATGTCAATGGGACTCTCAATCTTGGTCTCCACATATCTTGTTCTGAGTCTCTTGATATTCATGCATACTCTGACTCGGATTGGGCTGGTAATCCGGATGATCGGAAATCCACTAGCGGTTTTGCTGTTTTTCTGGGAAAGAATCTTAAATCATGGGTGTGTCGCAAGCAACAGACTGTGGCTCGCTCCTCAACCGAAGCCGAGTATAAAGGGTTAGCTGATGTATCTGTTGAAGTCACTTGGCTTGTCTCTCTAATGCAGGAAATGGAGTTCCCAGTCATCTCTGCGCCGAAACTGTGGTGTGACAACCTAGGGGCGACTTACTTATGCGCTAATCCAGTGTTTCATGCTCGCACGAAGCACATCGAGATTGACTATCACTTTGTTCGCGATAAAGTCGCCAAGAATGAGTTGCAAGTTCACTTTATTTCAACCAAAGATCAGATAGCCGATATTTTTACTAAACCTCTTTCTTCCTTACGTTTTAACACACTTCGTCACAAGCTCAATGTTTTGGCTAGCCAACCTTGTGCTTGAGGGGGGGTATTAGGACTATTTTGTTCGTATTAGACTAGAACTTTATTTCGTGTCTTTATATTTGTGTCTCCAGACTTTGGTATTCAATACAACACAATCTATATTCTCATCTAAACAACCATCCTCCTTTTTGTCAATGGAAGTCGACGGACGAGAGACCAGAAGAAGCAGCAATTGATTCCGCGGCATTGGTTCATCTCAACCGATCTGATTCGTTTGGGGGATTCGGTTGATCAGCGAGAGCTCGGGAGAAAGCTGTTGCGTCTTGGCATATAAATTGAGACGATTTTGAAGAAAAAATAATCATTTTTGCCCTAGATCAATTTCGGAGGCGTTGCGCGGATTTCTGATTGGCGAACAGCAGTTTTGTTCGACGATGGATTTTGACGACATCGGCAATTTCATCCGACGGTGGCTGTGTGGTAGCAAATTCCTAAGCAATAAATTCCATCAATTTATGGGCAATTTCCGTGGTAGCTTATCTTAGTAGCGGTAGGGAAAACACTCGAACAACAACAACAACAATAATAATCCAGTAGTGTAAGTACTAATCGAGTTGTACTCTCTCCAAGGTTGTGCTGGCGCACACGAGTCAAGCCTTTTCAAGCTCATTTTGGGATTTGATTTGCACCCCTGCGCGAGAGAGAGAGGGCATCAATGCTATACAAGTCAATTTGCCTTAGAAAGGCTCTTGTATAAATAGTAGTGCAAACCCACTTCTCAAACCAATGTGGGACAAAAGCTTCATACAAGACTTTCCACCCATGGTCTTTCAAGTTTTGAAATTTAACCAGCTATGGTCCTCTTGAAAGGACCATGGTTGGTTAAAATTTAATAGTTTAAGGACCATGGGTGGTTAACTTGGACCACGAATGGTTAAATTTGAAAGTCGAAGGACCACAGATGGTCAATTTGAAAGTTTAGGACTAAACGTGGCAAAACCACTATACTCGGAGGACCTCATATGGTATTAACTCAAACAAAAATTAACCAAACATGTAGTTATAAACAAAACAAAACAAAAATTACCTTGAAAAATATGCATAGATTTTAATGATGAATTATCTTGTTATAGCGTATATACTACATATATGTATGGTTCTAGAGAGAAAAACTAGTAGGTAGGTTAAATGAAGTTTAATTTGGATGTGTGTCAATAATATAGGGAATACATAATTTGAAATGTGAGAGAATTGGAGAAGATGAGGAAGTTTATAACTTAGCCTATAGGATTAATTTAAGTGGAAGGGGGGCCAAATATTTTGAAGGAACAATAAAATTATGATATTCTATATAATATATTTTTTTAAAAAATTAATATTATATATAATATTAAAAAAAATGGAGTATAACTTTGCCTCCGCCACTGCTTTTGAGTATTGTGCTTTTCACCTTTGAGTTATTGTAGTTGTGAGGTTATAAGCATTAATATGAAGCAATCTCTAAGTGAATTTGTTGTTTTGGTAATGCGCTGCTAGTTTCATTTGTCTGTGAATATGAATCTGGCCAATTCTAGCATAATTAGTTTGTTGAGGGAATTAACTAAGTACACATTATGCATGTTAATTCTAGGCTCGGTAGGATAAAAGGATAAATAATATAGTTGTCTTGTTGGATTATTTATTTGGTTCCTAAACGCGGATATTCCGTAGTTCTTTTAGGACCTAATGAATTTTAACTGTTTGAATAAGTGCCTTAAGTACATGAATGGTTAAAACACGTGATTTACTTTGGACGCCATAAGAAGTTTTCATATTTTACTATTTTAGAAAAGAACGAACCCTTAATTGATTGGTAGTATTGAACCTAATATGTAGAATTTAATTTGTAATGGAAATTGGTTCATGTTCCTAGTCCTTTCATCTTGATTATCTGTTGCCTTAGTCTCCTTAGTTTTTGATTATTTTATGTTCCTAAGTTGTCTTCATTTGGTATAATTTATTGCAGTTAAAACTTCATTTTGAATTCTCTCTTTCCACAATTTTAAGTTATTAAATTGCATTGTAATAATTTCCTGTAGGTTCAGCCCTTGTTATTGCACACTATCACTACAAGATTCGTGCACTTGCGAGAATAATTAAATTGTCCATCAATTTTTGGCGTCATTGCCGAAGAATTGTTTACTCTGCAAATTTTTTTAATATCTCCTTTATTATTATCGTCATTTTTTTCATTTTAATTCTATCTTGCTTATTTATTTAGTTCGTTATTTCATTCTGCTTTTTGACAATCTTTTTAACCAAAAAAAATGTATGAAGTTAATTCTAATATGGACTTGACTTTTCAAATGATAGAATTAACCAAACAAATGAAAAACATGTGCTCCCTTTTAAGTTTGAACCAAAATAATCCGTATTTAAGTAAGAGAAATAATGGTTTTGAACAGGTTAACTCAATGAATGCTTTTAATCAAAGGCCTATATATATAATCAATTTTATAATTCTTATAATTCGGGTTGGAAAAATCATACAAATTTTTATTAGGATAATAATCAAAATAATTTTCAACCAGTTGTTCCTCCCCAACCTAAAAAAAGAATCTTTGGAGGATACCTTGTAGAATTTTATGCAGGTTTTCAATAGGCAGCAAGAAGTAAATGAGCAATAGTTCAATAGGCAGCAAGAAGCGTATGAGGATTCCAACAACGTGAAGCTTTTTGAGAAAACTGGAAGTACAAGTATGTAGTACAAGTAGGTCAATTTGCTAAAGCTTTGAAAGGGCATGTGCTAGGTATGTTACTTAGCCAACATGAAGAAGGTAAGGCTATGCCTGTTTAAGAAGCGGTAAAATCGTTGAAAATAATTTGATAGAAAATAGTACTTCTAAACAAGCTGAAATAATTGAAAAATTAAATAATGATGCTGATGATATTATGGTTGAAAAAGATGAGTCTAAATTGCATAAATTTGATGATCCCTATGTGCCCCCAATCCCTTTTGATGTTCAAAATGATAAATTGACCAAGATTGTGCTTGATGAAACTACTGAGTTTCTAATTTTGACATCTATGAATTTTTCTGATAAAGTTATTCAGTGTTTTGCAATTAAAGGGTTGGATTTTGCAGAAAAAGGTAAGTTGGAGTTAGATAAACTCCGAAAGGAAAAGTTGTTGAATGACATTAATCATAAAGCAGTTTTTGCTCCTCATTCACAAACTGCAAGGGAAATTGAGAATTCCTTGAAAGGAGAATTTATTCACGGATGACTCTCTTTATCATCGTTTCTTTCATCTCACAACATTGGGGACAATGTTGAAAATAAGTGTGGGGAATGGACTTTGCATAAAAATCATAAAGTTTTAAAAATTTTTAAAATTTTTAATTTTCTTATGTACATTTTCTTAAACTTTTTTATTTTAAAATTCTAGCATTAGCTTGAGCTTTTATCCTTGTAGATATTTTGAATAACCCGTGATGAAAATAATGCAATTTTTGTCTACTCTTAATGTGTATATTGCATGTGGCTAGTTGTTAATTCTTTCTTTATTTTTATATTTCGAATAACTATGTCAAAAAAATAAAAATAAAAATAAAAATAAAAATAAAAATAAAAACAACATAAATAGGATTCGAAAATCACAAATACCCTTAAGTGTTCTATGCAATTTCTTTAATGGTTTATATGTTGGTTTCACTTTATATACCTTTTTCAAATTCCTTTTTTTTTTTTTTTTTTTTTTTTTTTGGAAAAGGAGCCATGGTGGCATTTATTAGAAATAAGCTAAAATCGAATCAGGTGGGATTGAGTCCCAATACATAGCAGTAGTCTGACTAAAAGCTGATGCAGCTAAAGTATGTGCTAAATAATTCTCTGATCTAGGAATAAATTTAACTAAACAAGAGTCAAAAGATGATATATAAGATCTGCAGCTATCAATAGCGTATCCAATACATGTGCGAAATGGGGCAACTGCGGAAGATAGATACTGCTGAACTGTTAAGAAATCCGTGTGTAACTCTATAGTACACTCTCTACAGTCCCTCAACCATGACAAGGCTTCTTTACATGCAAACGCTTCTGCCATAAGTGGAGAAAAACAATCCGGGAGAGAAGCACTCTAGGCCGAAACGTAGCTTCCATTCCCGTCTAGTAAGACTGCTCCGATCGTGGCTTTGTTTTTTCGCATGGTGGTATCCGGCGTTGACATGTCAGCGTCTGGGGGTCCTCGGCAGTGGTGCGGGCTCGTGGCTGGCTGCAGTTCGGGTGGTTCTGGCAGGCACGGCGGTAACCGGTGGTTCGGTGTCAAGATGTACGCCACGCCATGCATACAAGGCGGCAGTGGCAGCCATTAATAATCTTCTTGGCATCGGGAGGTAGGCATCCCAAACTGCACCGTTTCTTGCTCTCCAAATGTAGTAAAGAATTGCAGCTACGTACATTATCCCATCAGTGTGTAGAGTATTCAAGACTTCACTAAACCAAACATGAAAAATATTTGTCACAATAATAGGGATTGGAAGGTTGGATTGCCTCCATATGGTGTTTGCAAAATCACACAAAACCAATGAATGCATAGTGGTTTCATGGATGATACCACACATGGCACAAGATGGTTCAACATTCACCCTCTTTATAAGCAAGTTCTTGGTGGTGGGGATGATATCACTTAGAGCTCTCCATAAAAACGTTTTCCATTTGGGGGGATTTTTAGTCTCCAAAGAGTGAGCCATTTATTAAAAGCGCCTTCATTATTATCAACATAATTTCCAACAATGAGTCTGTAGCCACTTTTAACAAAATAATATCCTTTAGGATCTCCATGCCAATACCAAGTATCCGTGTAATCCGGGGAAATAGGTATTCTCATAATTCGGGCCTCATCCCTAGGTGTAAAGATACCTGTGAGGATTGAGTGATCCCATGTACTAGTAACTTGATCAACCAATCCCACCACTCTTGCATCAGCCAATTGAGGAGACATCTCAGTCTGTATCATAGGATCTTGCTCATCCTGGAGCCAAGGATGATCCCAAATTCGCGTATCTTCCCCATTCCCAAT